TTTACAAATAAATAAATATTATTATTTGTATAATATTATTATTTATTATAAAAAATTATTATTTGTACAATAATTAACTACACATATTGATAGATATTTTATGTTTTAAATTATAGTTATATTAATTTAAAATAAGTTCATTTCACTGGAAAAAAAAGAATAATCACAAATTTTCCAATCAATAATGTTTTAAACTACTAAAATGATATATTATTACATTATCATTTAATTATGGAATAATAATTTTGTTAATTTTTTTGTAATTATTTATATTTATAGTATATATTTCAATTTTAGGAATAATTTTGTATCAGAAATGATTTTTTGTCCTCTCATCTTGGAAAATATAGGTTTTTGCCAATTTGCTGGGCAAAAACCTGTTTTTGCCAGGACGGTTTTTACCGGTATTTACCATGGTTTTTTCCACCTGTGGCAAAATCTTGCCAACCCTGATGAGGATTAAGGCAACTTGAGAGCTATTACAACAGCATGACAGTGGCATGTTGGTCAGCATAGCATATAAGCAACTTTAACTTCCCAAATTTTTTATTTTTTTTTTATTTTCAATGAGCTGCACAAGTGCACACACATGAGCAGACCTAGTGTGTTCTCCAGAAGTGGTATCCACTCTTTCAGGACCACCACAATGGGTGAGATACCGTTGGCCATGTTAATTTGGACGTCTAGTTTCTGCCACACTAGATGGCAGCACCGAGACTCTTATTTGGATGCTAAAGTGCACTAGGAATTTAATTTTGCCGGAAATGCCGAGAGCCAATAAGGCACTCCAGGGATCTTTTGCATGCCGCATAATCATACGACATGGCCACTGAGGATTTTCTGCATCCCGAAAATCCGGTGTCTGTTAACTTCCCAAATAGGCTTGTACACAAGGCTTCAAGCAGCCAAAGAGTTTTAAAACTTAGTCTTTCACAATAATGGCTCAGTTCCTTTAACCACTGAGCTGTCATAGATCATACTACACAACTCAGTGAAGCTGGCAAATTACAAAGTTAGAAGCAAAAATTGTACATGTTATTAAAGCTTCAAGCAGCTAGAGAGTTTTAAACCCTTGTCCTTCACAGTAATGGTTCAGTTCCTTTAACCACTGAGCTGTCATAGATCATACTACACAACTCAGTGAAGTTGGCAAATTACAAAATTAGAAGCAAAAATTGTGCATGTTATTCGAAAATTGTTGAATCATCATCATATTTCGCACAATATTCCAAGGTGAGTCAAGACCTAACCTGGAACTTTCCTTATGTGTATAATATATCAGACTATTGAAAGGCATCCCATGTAATTTTTTTAAAAAATTGTTTCATATTCCTCAATAAAAAAGAGTTTAAAAATAGGAAAACCTTTCAAAATGTAACATCAGTTACCATGGAGTTTCTCCGAAACTCTTTAAAAAAAAACACTTTTTTTTTCTTTCAAATTTGAAAATTTTTTATTTAATAAGAATCATTTCTTTCAGGCTTCCTAATGCCCAAGGATTACATAAATTCTGTGGATACAATGTTCTGTTGCTTGAATATCGTGGTTATGGTCATAGTAACGGCTCACCAAGTGAAGAAGGTATAATAATTTTAACTATTGAATAAAAAGTTGAAGGATACCTATTTGAAAACTATATTATTATGTATTCATATTCTTACATAAATTGTGGCTGAAAAAATTGAAAGTGATAACATTTCTTAAAATCAAAAACTGTTGAATTAAAAAATAATTATACAGGAACAAGGTTTACAAAAACTCGGGTTTTCTGAATTTTTTTGGCGTTGTCATTATCATTCACTCCAATTTTTAGAAATTGTATTTTTTTTTTTAAATTAAAAAAAATGGCTGCTATGGCGGCACTATATTGTGTTACTCTGTAACACCTGGTTTTTAATTAATTTAAAGAATTTCAATCTAATGAAAGTTACTAAAAATTAAAATTAGTGTAATGATCTTAAGACTTATATTTTTAAAAAAAATATTAGAACTGCTCAATTTTTTTTTAAACTAAGTTATATGCTTTTAAAAACTGCAAATATGAAATTCTTATACAGTTTGAAGAAGTTTCATTTTCTTTAATTTTTCAGGTTTGTATCTTGATGCACAGGCTGGATTGAAATATTTACTTCAACAACCTTTCATAGATAAGAGTAAAATTATTGTGTTTGGAAGATCTTTGGGTGGAGCTGTTGCAATAGACTTAGTTAGTCATCCAGAATATGCAAAGCATGTACTAGTTTTAATTGTGGAAAATACATTCACAAGTATTCCAGACATTGCAAGAGAAATGTTTAATTTAAGAATTTTGAGGTGGTTGCCGACATGTGCTTTTAAAAACCAAGTATGTTTTCTCAATTAGTTTAGTATTGAAATGCTACTATTTTTAGTCAGTACTGACTTGTCTCTATATACTTGCAAGCATATTGTTTTCACTTTTTCCAAATAATGACTATTAAATTAATAATTCTTTGTGTTTTACGTAATGTTGGTTTCAAACTAATTTTATTTTCTAATGTAGAATAAATAGAATCAATTAATATATTGTCTGTAGTTATATGCTAATCTTGAGTTTCATCTAAATAATTTTTTCATATATTTATTGAATGTGTTTTGAATTGCAATTTATGTGTATTTGTTTTCATTTCCAGTTTTTATCTATAAAGAAAATAAGGCGAATTAAAAGACCTTCACTATTCATTTCTGGGCAAGCTGATGTTATTATTCCTCCATCAATGATGAGGGCATTGTTGCTTGTAAGTTAAATTTAGAAGACTTTTTTTCATTTTTCTGTAAACTATTGCAAAATACTTTAAACTGATGAAAAAGCGTATAAATTGAACATCACTTGAAGTTTGTGCGTCTAAAATTTTCTGCATTTTTTATAATAAATTTTGTTTCTGAATTTATAATGGCATGAATTTTATTTTTTGTTTGAGGATAAGTTCTCTTTGCATTATTCTTAATGTGTGTATATATATGTGTATAATATTATGTAGGCATTGTAAGAAATAAATTAACAACTCTTACAAGCAAAATAATTAGAATTTTTTTAATGACATATAGTTTTGTGTTTTAATTTTAAAAACCGAATAAATAATCTTAATTAGTTAACTATCAAGTTTCTGTATAAATTCCTTTGTAATGAAACAAAAAGTATTAAGAGGGTATAAAATGACTTAATCAATTTGAATATAAATTATTCTGCAGGAACTTTGATTGTTCTGCAACATACATAGCAATTTCAAGAACATTCTATTTATGATATATCTATATGCATACAATGAATTTTAAATTAGTATCTGGTATCATTTTTATCTTAAAAAGAGTTTTTTTGGGGTTTATGTTGGTTAATTTTAAGTTTCTTAAACTAGACATTCTGACCTGCAAAAATGATTAACTTTTTTTTTTTTTTTTTTAGCATCAAATACTAGTTTTGGCATGATAAACATTAAAAACTAGTTAAAACCATCAAAGATTCTCAGAAAACTAGGATGACAGTCACCATCTTATAATTCATGTAAAATTTTTAATGATGAAATTAAAATATTACTTCATCTGCGCATAAGCTGTATATACATACAGCTTATGCGCAGTAAATAAAATATATTAATTTTCTTTCTTTTTCTGTCTTTTCGTCTTTATCGTAATATATATATTGTGCTATATATATATTTATATATACCACAATAAATAAAGACAAAAAGAAGAAAACGAGGAAAATCTAGGAAGTTTTCTCTGCATTTTGAATTTGATATATATATATATATATAGTTAACAATAATTGCAGTAGAATAAAAATTATCATTTCGGGTAGATGAAGCAAATTTTCTGTTCATATTTCATTGTTTATTATTTTTTTTAGTGCTCGCAGCTTTTTGAGGAATTNTATATATAGTTAACAATAATTGCAGTAGAATAAAAATTGTATTTTCGGGTAGATGAAGCAAATTTTCTGTTCATATTTCATTGTTTATTATTTTTTTTAGTGCTCGCAGCTTTTTGAGGAATTTTTAAATAGATTTGTTGACTTTTCATAGTACAATTGTTATTTTAGTTTCTCAATGATTGAAATTTAAATTTTTTTTTTGCAAACTTTTAAAATTTTAACAAAACTGCATGAAATTTAAAAACTGTATTAAATATCCAAATTATAGCATTGGATAATTTATATACAAAATTGACTAAATACATACTGCATTTAAAGTACATTTTTTATGACATTCTAATTTGCATCTAAAAAGTCGTAATTTAATTTTCTCCCAAAAATTAGCAATTTAATTTTTAACCTTAAACATAACATGGAATGTGTTATTGAAGATAACAACCATCAAAAACTGAGGCTTGTCAAAATTTTGTCAGCACTAGAAAAGAACTTGTTTAAAATTTTATTTTAGATATAGTAAAACAGAGCATTCAAACATTGCTTTCTTAATGATAAAAATGTGTATTGATGTGTTCAAAACGTATAAAATTTCTTAATAATCAAAGCAATTTTTTTTAAAAAAAGCAATAAATAAATTCTGAATGTTCACTAAACTGAGTTGACCAATATTCATTAAAAAAAACCAGCAAAATTCTTTACATTGTGTACTATAGTACTTTTTGTTATAGTTGTAAAAACTTCGCTGTGGATTTCATTTTGAATATAACAACAAATACTTTTAAGAATCGCCTGTGTATTTAACATTTGTGTTTTATATGTTTTACTATAATGCAGTGTTTTCATCATAGAAAAAAAATGGGTGAAAATTTCTCACCCTTTCTCAGAAACAGGGTGAGATTTCAAAAAGTTAAGTGATATTTCCAAAAACTAAAAAAACACAAAAACTCTTGAAAAAAAATCATTTCTTTAATTTATTTTTAACGTCTTCTATTTTTTAAAGCATTCAATATTTTTGGTGCATCATCATAGAAGAATTTGCCTTTATAAGGTATTTGTCCATCTTACATTAGAGCATAAAAAATTTGAACGTCTTACATGAAGAAACTTTACCTACGGTAAGCACGGGGTTGCAGAGAAATGTGTTCTGAAAGGGGTTCCGTGGCTGTGTTCTGTTGTTGGAAAAGGTTCTGAACAATACTGGTAAATAGGAAAGCTAGATAACGGTGCAGATGTTGAAAATAATGAAAGATCAAGGAAGAAAAGTGAAACGGATTTTATTCTAAATGGTGTAATTCGAAGGTTTTTCTAGAATGCGAGAAATTCGTGAATTTTGAAATTTATTTATAAAATGCTCGAATTTCTCGCGGTAATCATTTTTTAATGCGAGAAAAGAAAAAATATGCGAGATTCTCGCGTTCTCGCGCTGTAGTGAAAACACTGCAATGACATTAACAACGAATTTAAGATATTTAAAAATCTTTCTGGCTTATGAGTTAATTTTTTCAATTTTAAATCACAATAAAAATTGGGAAATACATCAAAACCTGTTGCTTGACCACATTTATAAATTGATCACCTGTATAAATTGATCTTAGTGATCAATTACCTAACTGTCAAAACTAGTTATATTTCCCCTTTATAGGTTGACCAATTGTCTAAGTAGACCATCAAATTGTTGTCTCGCAAGTGGTCGGAAAGATTTCACTGCATGTACTACAGTACTGTATGAAAACAGTTTTTAAAATCTTACTTTAACAAAACTCAAAATACCAATGTATTATAATTATTTTTATTTTGAATATGTTTTACGCTTATTTAACTAAATAAATTAACTGAGTTTCTGTGTTTCATTTTTTTCTTCCAAAAGGAATCTGGTAGTCCAATCAAAAGATTGTATCCTTTTGAGTATGGCACTCATAATGAAACGTGGCAGTGTAAAGGCTACTATAAAATGGTCAGCATGTTTATCGATGATGTAAGTTTATTGATTTTTTTTTAAAAAATCAACTATATATTTCTTGATGATGTAAATATATTTAATTTTGTTTAAATGTTTTTATTGATGATGTAAGTTAATGGAATTTTTTTTAAAAAAACATCTCAATTCTATTAAAATGTTATTTGTAAAGCTAATTGTTTTGAATTAGTATAGTATAAGTCAGGGTTTGTTGATTTAAATCAGCTTGATTTAAATCACGATTTAAATAAAATGATTTTTTTTAAAAAAAGCTTTGATTTAAATCAACTGATTTTTTTTTTGTATATATATATTGATTTAAAAAGTTAAATAACAGTGTTTTAAATTATTGATACTTTTATTATTTTTTTTTCTTAGTTTTAAAATTTATTTTAAATAAATTGATGCATTAATTAATTTTAGTTAACAAACACAGGTTAATGTTTAGTTAACCCATTTGAAATTACATTTTTGAAAATCTTTTGATTCTTGAGATTGAAAGCACAGATTAAAGTAAACATTTAATGCTGTCTTAATATGGGCTTGCATAGCTGTAGAAAGTAATTAATAAACATGAATTTTTTTCACAAAAAATTACAAATAATGTTAATTAAAATTCTACCTTTTGATTGAAAAAGCATGGAATTAAAATCTACATTATATTTTATTGGTGGAAAATGTATATTTCTAAAGCGTGAGGTTATCTTAAAAAGAAATTACCCTAATATTTTTTCAAAAAAATCACAAACCCTGAGTATAACTGTCAATTGCTACAATTGGTCATAAAATATTTTTTTTTCTATGTTACAAATAAAATTAAAAAAAATTACTCATCATTCATAATTCTCTCATTAAAAGGATTCAATGTGGTTACAAAATTAATCAACAATATTTAAATAACTTTTGACTGTAACAGCATTTGTTTTCTACAAAAATATATTGATGCATACATTTCAAAAGCCTGTACTTTAACCATTAATTAAAATTTAACCATTAATTCAATACTAATTAAAAATTTAAATTGACTAATGAAATTAATTCCAATTATCAATTTAATTTTGATGAAAAATTTAAATTCACTATTATACCTTTTTTTTTTTAAAGACGTGAATGAATTTTGTTTTTAGTGTAACTGTGAATAACACGACACTGTTTTTCATAAAATGTATTTAAGCCTATAGAAAAGGGGTGGAGGGATTTACCCGGTGAATTTTAGGTATTAAGTTAGCATTCATGCAATTATATGTATATACAATTAATAAAACTTATTTGCTATTGACTTTATGAGTACAAAGTGCTAAGTGCAGCTTCGAAAAAACTTACTTTACCTGAAAACTGAAATGTAAGTATTAGAAAGATTTTGTTTAAAAGCGGGTAGGTTAAATCTTTTCCTTTTCCTATCATATACAGTTTTTCTCTACTGCATTATGAGTAAAAATAAATAAATTTATAAAAGTATTTTAACCAGCCCTACTGTACAGTAAGCAAGAAGAAAAAAAATTGAGTATCTTATATTTTTATGATTGGATTTTCGCACACTAAATTCTTGAACGGATTCTTGACCCTCAAAATATGAAGGTAGCCTTTGTCTAAAAAATATGATCCTAATTATTTAGACAAGAGAGCGGTCGAATCGAAATTTTGCAATATTTTGAGAATTTCTTTAGAGAGTCATAAATTATTTCACGCAGTGATAAAATTCTTTTGTCCAAAGGTAGTTAATTTCATTCAAAGTTAATTTGTAACATTTCTTACTTTTATTAAATGAATTAATAACTATTGATAACACTTTGTATTTTGTCATTTAAAATTGCATGCTTTAAAAATTTTGTTTGCACTACTTTGTGCACTTTGTTTGCACATTTTTCCGACTAGCATTGAACAATTTTAAAAAAGTAAATAATTATGAAAAATGAATTTTTTTGTGAAATTATTTTTTAATAAATGAATTTTATTATTGTATGAAAAAAATTCTATTCACTTAAAATGTATTTGAAATATATCAAAGTATGCAAAAAGTGAAATCAGCATAAAAGAGTCTTTAACTTTCAACCGCCTCTCTGCCTAAACTATTTGAACCCTATTTTCAGATTTTGGCTAGCCATATTTTGCAGGCCAAAAATTTGAATCTGTCTTAAAAAACAGGGTTTATTCACGAAAAGAGGAGGGGGGGTTGTCAGATTTTGTAACTTGCAAAATCTTTTACACTAATTAATTAGCAATTTTTAGGATAACTTCTCAAACCTTTTAGATTGAGTCATTGTACATGCAAATCCATTTGTCGAATCAAAAATTAGTCTAAGTATTGACTTTTTTGTGTCCATTGTACACTGTTTCTGTTTATAGTAATATGAAGGAAACTGGTTTGGTAAACATATATATTAAGCTGAACATTATCTTACTTACTGAGGGTGCTAAATACAAGTTAACCTTGAATTAAGATGGTTTGTTTAAAGTCCTATTCTTACTGGATATCTATTTTGTCAATCTTTGTGTCCATAAATTTGAAGACAATTTCTAATAATTGAAATGTTTGCAGGTTATGTTAGCTCAAGAAATGAACATTTGTCCTTCAAACTATGATGGAAGGGGTGAAATATATTGATTGCATGGAAACATTTAAAGAATAATTGGTATGCATAATCTCTATTTTAAATCAAATAATATTTATAATTCATTTTATTCCTTGTTATATTATAATGAAGCATATTTTTACATAAAGATTCTTTTCCTTAAATACATTTTAATGCCTGTTTGCATTTCAAATTTCATATTTATTTTTATTTGTTGAAAAAATCAGAAATTAAATGAAAAATCAAATCAATTTATGTGTAAAAATCAAATGAAATAAATTTAAAATTTTTCCTCTCCCTCTCCCCACTTTTTGAATTCGTCGGTGGGAAAAAGGCCTTCCTAAATTATCACCTTAATGAATCATAATTTGTTACATAAATTTAATTATTAACTGATTAAATAACCCTTGAAAAATGTGACTAAATTTTCATGATGCATAAGATTTTTTTCTTCCCATTTCTAATGAATTTTAATATTTATAATTTTTTATTGACTAACATATTTTGTATGTTCAAGATATATTTTTTAAAGGATTTTTTTTTTTTTTACTTGCTGTTTTTTATTATTGAAAATGGAGCATCAGAATGTTATTTGATAAATAAATAACGATTTAGATTTAACAAATTCTGTTCTACTTTACACAAAATTGAAATCATATTTTTATTCTTTCCAGTTGGAGATTAAGTTGAAATTTGTATGTGATAGCATCTAAAACGGTTGTATGCATTTTCTGTGATTCTCATTATCATAATAAATTGAAATAGATTCATATGTATGTTGAAGAAAACATGAAGTTAAGAAATTTAATTACTTCATTACATCTAGCTGGCCTGTTCATCAAGACAGATGTATGCAACATTTACATGCATGTATACTTCCATATCATATTATAACCACATTGCTTATTTTTAGTATAATTGCCCTTTATTAACATGGAAACTGTTAATGATATGGCAATTTTGAAGTGATATCTAGATTCTGAAATGATGTAGTTAAAACCTAAAAAAATGTCAAAAATATGTTAAAAATATGCATTGACAGGTATTTGAAGTTTTGCAAATTGTACTTTATCTAGTACATTAAACTTTTTATGTAAGGAGAACCTTAAAGTGACATCTATATTCAGAAAAATGTTGTAAAAACCTCTAAAAATATACCAAGTCATATAACAGGTATTTGAAGTTCTAGATATTGTACTTTATGAAATACTATGTATGATATGGCGATCTTGGAGTAACATCTAGATTCTGAAGTGATGTAGTGAAAAATATTACAAATATCCCATAGGATGTAAAAATTACTTGAAGCTACGGAAATGGTAGTAATGTGAAGTGTTCATGTGGTTTCTCGTTTGGAAGTTATATTGATCAAGATTATTTCAAAAAGAGTGTTAGATACCTTGGTTTCAAGTTTAAAATGTCTTGAATTGGTTAAGTGAAGTTTTCACCATTGCGGAAACAATATTGTATGAGGTGCTTCTTTAATGAGCGTAAAGTTGTCCTTCATCTTAGACTGTTCTGGATTGATGAATGGTAGAATGTAACTTGACATCTATCTATAGATGTACAAATTAAAATTCTTTTATTGTCTTCTATGGATCTAATAGTACTGTATTTTTGTTAACATTTAATTGAAACAACTTTTTGTTCTGCATCTGATGAATGGCTGAACATGACTAGGGTTGACTCATCATTGATTTCTAAAAACTTAATGCAATATCATTCCGCTTATGTTAAATTATATAATGTGAAATTCTTATTTTTAGTGTTTGTAAGTGTTCAGTAGAATTCCAAGCTTAACGGAGGGGAAATTACGCAGGTATTTTATCCTAAAAAAATGTAATAAATATATGTGAAAACAAAAAATTTTGCAATAATATGCTACTTTAGGGTGCAATGTTTAATTTAATTGCATAAAATAATAAAAGAGCCTCATAATTTAATTGCCGGGTAATTAAAAGCGTCCGTAACAGAGGGGACAAAGCAAATCACACATTTTTGACATGCACTGTTATTTCCCCTATATTCTGCGATTTGGAACATCCTAAACATTATTTGTAATTTTTTTTAATTATCATATTTCAAGGTAAAATAAATTATNTAACAAACTTTTTAATTCATTGTTTGTAAATATATATTATTTTGTTTATATTAAATATAAAGAGTGCAGTGCAGTATATCAAATATTTATATGAAATAAAGAATAATAAATATAAATACTATATTTTAGTTTATTATATTAAACTCTGAAGTTCAGTAATTATTATCATTTAACTCTTAATATAACTGAATAGAGCTACTTTCAAATAGCTTTTTTTCTTTTGAAAACATAATTTACATGGCAACAATCCAATTATTATAACAGTAACAGTTTTAATCTTTGCTGTATGTAAAATGTAATATAATTGGTTAGATTCGCTGATTCATAAATATAAACAGCAATTTCACTGGTCACTTTGTTTAACATTTAAATGTTTTTTCTATGAATTATCCATTGTATGTCAATCTCAGTACTTAACTTTTATGTCATTTTCTGAATTTCTGCCAGTTTCGGCCACAAATGTGGCAGAAAAGGGTTTTAACCGGTTTCTACCAGTGGTTTTAACAGCCTCGGCAGAAACTTGCCAACCTTGTTGTTAAGTCATCTGTTGAATAAATATGATTCTGTAGAAATTGAAGCAAATCTATTGGTCCTCGATTAGTACACCCATAATCTATTATTCTGCATTTTCCCAATGGTAAAATTCTAGCTGCAATTCAGCAAATATACATATTGTATACTGTTGAAGGTAAGCAGATATTCCTACTGTTTTGACTGTTGAATAATAGAATGAAATTTGTTTTTCAACAAGCATACAGTTTTGACACTGTTGGAATTGAACTAATCCTCTCTCACCACCTTGAGTTATATACCAACAATTCACTATTCTGCATTCGATTGAAATATAAATTTCAGCTTGCAGATATGATACTGACAGATATATAAACTGTTGTACTTTGTTAGTGCAAGTACCTTTCATCTGTTTCAATTCATTGTTCTGATTGTATTTGTGCAATGTTTCAGTAGAATTCCAAGCATAGCAGAGGAGGAATCGCACAGGTATTTTATCCTAAAAAATGTATTAAATATATGTAAGAAAAAAAATTGTGCAATAATATGCTACTTTAAGGTGCAATGTTTAATTTAATTGCATAAAATAATAAAAGAGCCTCATAATTTAATTGCCAGGTAATTAAAAGCGCCCGTAACAGAGGGGACAAAGAAAATCCCACATTTTTGACATGCACTGTTATTTCCCCTATATTCTGTGATTTGGAACATCCTAAACATTATTTGTAATTTTCTTTAATTATCATATTTCAAGGTAAAATAAATTATTACAAGACTTTTTAAATTGCTTACACATTTTCATTAACTTCAAAAAATGCAATGTAACAGATTTTGCAAATTTGACAAATAGTTACAGGGAAATATCATGCCATTTAATTAAACATTACACCTTAAAGTAGCATATTATTGCACAATTTTTTATTTTCACGTATATTTAATAAATTTTTTATGATAAAATACCTGCGTGATTTCCCCTCTGTTATGCTTGGAATTCTGCTACTGGTTTCAGTTGGCATGGAATTCAACTTCATGTAAGGCTTAGGTATCAGGACTCTGATTACTATTGTTCAACGCATGTGTAAACATAATAATTTTAGAAACAGAAATGTTACTTCCAAGTTCCTTAGCAGGAATGATGTGGCCATCCATTTGTTCTATGTTACTGACTGAAGCATATCTCTTAGAGCTTCTTAGGTGATTGCTCAATTAAAGATTTAAAGCAAGCTCATCTTCATATCTCATAGTTAAACTTCACAATAATTTACTAATTACTTGATAATTTAATTTTTAATCGATAAAGTAAGACAAATTTATCTATTGCAGCATGCTTGTAAATAAATTTTTGTTTTGTTTATTTATTGAGGTCGTAATTTTATACAAAAGTTGTACCATTTAAAGCATTTTAATATGAAATCATTTGGTTTGATCAAAAAATACTTAAAACATTCGCCTTTTGTAATATTTAACTTGCATTTATTGAGAGCATTCCATACCTTTGAAAAACAGAATGTGTACCAAAAATTGGAGGGAAAAAAATGTAAAATATTAAAAAATGTGAATTAAATGAGGAAAATTCTATTTCTTTTTTGAATGTCAATACTTTTATTTATCAATTTTGATTTTCAATTCTTTCAAATTAAATTAGAATAACTGAATTGATGAAATTAATCTCAATGTGAATCCTCTATATCGTTGTGTGGTTAAAATTTGATTTTTTTCATTTCATCTTAAAATATGTACAAATTCTAAAGATTTGTTATTGTTTAAGCAATTTTAACTGTAATACATAGTCTTGGTAAAAGGCTCAAAAGAAATTTTAAGATTTTTTTAATAACAAATTATTAATATTAATTAAAGCTTCCAATCTATGGTTTTCATATTTGTTTAAATTTACTTTTTTTCTATCTGTTTTTATTATTATAGATTCGTTTTTTTTTTTTGTGTACACGAAATTTGTTTTTAAGTATTTTTCAAAGCAAGTAATGGGGAAAGTAAAGATCTATCGTGAGCTTTTTCCCAATTAAATATTTTTAATTTAGTATTTATTATTAAAAATGTTATCAAACAGGAAGTTATTGTGGTAGATAATGGCTAGCATAAAGTTGTGTAACATCATAATTTGAACTTGACATTACTCTTATGTATGAAATATACATTATATGTTATTTTAACATGTTAATTAATTAACACGCTAAAAGCTTTTTTTGTTTTTTATGTGTTTAATTAATTAATTCTTCAATTAATTATTTAATAAATGTTTAAGTTAATTAATTATTTTAACATTATGCATATGTCTTCAACAAATTTTTGGGGGAAGTAAAGTACATCATAAAGACTGAGATTGCATGCAACTAACAATCATAGTAACAGCAAAATAATAGATTAAGAATTGGTTAAATTTTAGGGAAATTTAGGATAAAAAGAAATACACTTCCACACTTCATTTGATCAATGAAATGAAGAAGAAACCAGTTAATTTGACAAATAAAAGAGAAAACTTTCACTTTACAGTGCTATATATATATATATATATATATATATTTTGTAAATAAGTAAGAAGCTCTGTTTACCACCCCCCGTTATTGCTTCTCATTCATCTCTCTCTCTCTCTTTTCTTTTAAAGTAGAAAATTTATTATTTTCAAAGAACATTTTGTTCATAAAAAATATAACTATTATAATTTTATCTAAGAGCATTTTGTTAATAAGTTAATTGTAATGAAATGAACAATTACCTGGATTTAAAAAATAATCTCCTGTACTTAAAAAATTAAATAATTAAACTTAGGAAAATGGATTGTGTTATACATTACATGTTATAAATGAAAAGTAACTTTACTCCTGGAACTAGATTTTGTATTATAATAGTTCATATTGTAAACGGTTTTTTCATCTGTTTTGGATTGAAATCTTTTATATTTTTAAAAAATTTCAAAATAAATTTTAAGTTTTATATCTGGCAACAACTAATTTCTGTTTTAATACCCCCTTTTTTTTCATTTTTTTTTCCAGCATCAATTCAAGAGCGTGTGAAAAAAAATACAGATCTGAGAGACATAAATAAATTTACCTCAAAATTGGTTAAAAAGTCATTATTTGAAGCAAAAAAAAAAAAACAGTTGTGATAAAAGCACTTGATGTTGCAATAGTTTTCGTACAAATTAATAGTTTTAAAAAGTTAGCATTAAGTCCACAAATAAGGATGGCCCTTTGAGTTTGTGAAATTTCAACATTATGTGAGATGCAGATCGACAGGCATGGTATATACTACAGGTTTAGTTAATAATTATTAAAAGTTTATTTTTTATATCGTACTTCCTACACATTTTTCTCCACCCCACCTTTCTAATTTCAAGTATCTAGGACTTTTGCTTGCAATTTTTTGTTATAAAGAGAAGTTTCTTTTTTAGCTTCTGGGATAGGACACCTGTTGATTTGTTTTACTTATCAGAACATTTATTGCCTTTTCATTATCATTTAAAGAATATTTATTTATATAATAAGAAAATTCATTGCCTTTTCATTATCATTCAAAGAATATGTATTTATGTAATTAGAATATTCATTGCCTTTTCATTATCATTCAAAGAATATGTATTTATGTAATCAGAACATTCATTGCCTTTTCATTATCATTCAAAGAATATTTATTTATGTAATCCGAACATTCATTGTCTTTTCATTATCATTCAAAAAATATGTATTTATGTAATTAGAATGTTCATTGCCTTTTCATTATCATTCAAAGAATATGTATTTATATAATTAGAACATTCATTGACTTTTCATTATCATTCTAAGAATGTAATTTTATGTAAATTGTCAACAATTTGTAATGAAGCTGCATTTTTAGTAGGTAGATGCTTTCTCCATTGTGTTACATGCTTTCGATTCATTTTCTGTCTATTGTAACTGTTTTCAAATGTTTCATGTGCAAAGCAACCAGCTGCAAGCTTTTCTGTTTTGCGTCACTGATGAATTCTTCACTTTTTATAAGAGAGACTTAATTATGAATATTTTGCATGACAGAAATCGTTGATGTTTTATGTTGGCAAAATTTTCGATTTGTCCAACTTGTTCATGTTTATTTATTGTATT